TGTTGATGTGTTGTGAGATTGTTAACCATTGTCATAGGGCAACATTTGTAGTAACTGTTAAATGAGAAACTATTTTGTTCTGTAAGTCTTCATCTTAAGTGAGAATAACAGCACAATTGGAAAAGTGTAGTCATTCTCACTGAACTGTGCATGTAGAAATTTTTGAAATGGTGTATCTTTGGCTATGTGTATTTTCACCAAAAAAAAGAGGTTGAGAAGTTAGAGGGTTGATATGTTGTGGGGTTGTTAACCAATGTTATAAAACAACATGTGTACTTCTGTTTCATGAGAAACTATTGGTTCTGTAAGCCTTCACCTGAAGTACAATAAAAAAATATATATATGTAATTAAACATAGAAGTCCTGTTAGCCATCATCAAGATCTGTTGTTGGTTGGGTTTTGAAAAGTCATTTAAAACAGAGAATTATTTTGTAAGAATTATACATACCTAAGTTTATTTCAATTTAAAATGTATCAACATATTTCCATTCCCAGCCTTTGTATATCATGCCAAAGTCTTACACCAGCTGCCCTGCCAATGGCCTTTCCCCCATGAGCCACAGCCTCAATGCAGGGCATCCAACTTCAGTTTCTTTAAAGCAGAGTGAGAACTTGAAGACACTTGCAAAGCAATCTGACGGCATACACTTTCTAGATTTTTAAGCCCTTCTCCCTCTACCCATCCCCTAATCTTTTAACAGTTGTCTGGGCCTCAACAAGACAGAAATTTTATTTATTTATTTTAGTAATTCACCTTTATCAATATTCAGCTTTTCATAGACTCTTTTTTTCACTCATATTTCATTGCTATATGAAATAGTTTTAACTGTGTGCATTTGCTATTTGATTGTAACTGCTATAAACAGGCTTGGGAACAAATCACGGACGTTCAGTGGGCTATCATTCAACTGGTGGGAGCAGGTGTGAACAAGCACAGTCCCTCACAACCTACCAGCTATGAAAATCCATGGGCGAGGGCAACTGCCACCGTCATCACGGATGGAACAGGCAGCTTTGGTCAACTTGGCAGAGTGAGGTCAATTAAGATGCTTCTACTGTGCATGGAGTCCCTGGGTGGGACAATCAGTTAACATGCTCACCTGCTAACCAAAAGGCTGAAGGTTCAAGTCTACCCAGAGGCGTCTTGGAAGAAAGCCTGGTGATCTACTTCTGAAAAATCAGCCACTGAAAACCCTATGGAGCACAGTTCTATTCTGACACACAGGAGGTCACCATGAGTCGGAATCAACTCAACAGCAGCTGGCTGTTTTGTTTATTGTTGTTTCTTTTACTGTACATGAGACAAGCAAAGTGCTGGGGACATGCATATACTGCCTGGGGGAGCCAGGAAAGTTTTGTGACAATTCAGCCAGGCCCTAAAGAATTGCTTCATGTTTGTCAAGCAAAGAAGGGGTGGAAAGGGAACTCTGGGCAGAAGAAAAAGAATGTACAAAAGCACAAAGACATTAAAAAGACTAGGACAAGGCAGATACTAGAAGGAGTGGATGGTGCCAAATCAGTAATAAATAAGTTATAACTTATTGATTGTAACTGCTATAAACAGGTTTGGGAACAAACCAGTGACCCTCAGTGGGCATATCAATTAATACGGGGGTGAGTGGCTGTGTCTATGATCAGAGTTCTGGTTATTACTAATAGTGGGGAGGATGTTTCTAAGACATAGTGAGACACGTCATTAAAAAAAAAAAAAATCCATTGCCATCAAGTCAATTCTGACTCATAATGACCCTATAGGACAGAACAGAACTGCCCCATAGGGTTTCCAAGGCAGTAAATCTTTACAGAAGCAGACTGTCACATCTTTCTTCCATGGAGTGGCTGGTGGGTTCAAACTGCTAACCTTTTGGTTAGCAGTCGAGCTCTTAACAACTAAGCCACCAGGACTCCAGACTCACTACAGCAAGGTTTGAATCATCCTCATCTCATTGTGGCTATTCTCACCAGGCCTTTGCTCTCAGTCCCCATAACACTCTGACCCATGCCCCACACCCTCAGCCCACCCTAAAGGCAGTTTTTAAAGAGAATCACTAGATCAGATGTATGGGTGGGCAATAGGAAGACTAGTTTAAAGAAGCTGAGACAGATGCGGGATGCATGAAGACCTGAGAGACATTTTTAAGACAGAACCACAGATATGTATTGTGACTGATTAGATAAGAGGAAGGTATAAGCCCTGACTGTCTAGAGCTTTTTTGCCCGTCACTCATTCACCACATCGCCACTGCCTAGCAAGACAGTCTCCATCCCACAGGCAACAGAGCACATCTAAACGTGATCATGTGATTCTCCTTCAGTAACTCCTATTACTCCAACAGCAGCAGTTCAAGCCACAACTCCTCAAGCAAGGCCTAGGTCCTACCAATCTTTCCAACCTGCTTCTCCACACCACAGACTCCTCCACAGCCCTCAGCCCACTACAGTTCCCCAAATGCATTATGCTCCATCATACTGCTAAACCTTTGACCAGGGGCAGGCCCCTTATCTGCCTGGTTGACATCTGGTGGTCCTTCAACCCACCTTCTCTGTGAGACTTCCCTGATCTGATCATTACGCTCCCCTGAGCAGAACTGGGGCCTTCTGGGGTGATGTCAAAGTTCCATGATCTGACTGTGATTACTGAGGCACTTGTTCTGTAATTAATCACTGAGATGAAAATTTCTGTTTTGTGCACTTGACTGTATATATAGTGTATTTCACAATAAGAAGACAAAAGAAAAAAAAAATTAATCGCCCCCTCCCAAAGAGAAGAAACCTGTGTCATAATCAGTGCCTATTGTAATGCTACTGTTCTGAATATAATTATTTCCCAAAGTTCAGTGAAAATCATGCAAAGCACTAGACGGCAAGCCCTGAAAAGTCCATTTCATTTGTACATGTAACACGAAAGCACTGTCTGGCACATGGCAGATATTCACAAAACTGGCTAAACACTGAATTTCAAGAAGCCAGAAAGGCCTAAGGAAACAAAGAAATAACACTGCAACCCAAATATCATAATACAGTAAGGCTGCAAGCATCTTCCAAACTGTACCCATTTTCCTGGGTATTTGGGCAGGAGAGGTAGTTCAGAGCAGTAGAAAGTAGAGAAGAGTAGGACATGGTGAATCGAATTCTTGTTTCTCCCACTTGTTATTTGTGCGTCCTTAGACAAGTCCACTTTTCGTCTTTGAGCTATTTTCTAATAGTGCACCTACAAGGTTATGGTGATAATTAATTGAGATAATGTACTTAAGAGATATTTAGTGGATAACTCATTAAATTATAGTAATAACAAAGTAGTTAAGCAAGGGCTTTTCAGCTACACTCCCTTGATTATATCTGCCACTGACTAGTGGAAGTTTGACCTTGGGCAAGTTACTGAACCTCTCTGTGCCTCAGTTTTCTCAACTGTAAAATGGGGAGAGGACCTGCCTCATGGTTCTCACAGGATTCTTCAAGGATTAAATTATTTACTAAAACAGTACTCAATAAATACTAGCTATCATCATCTTTCTAGGGAAAAAAAAATATCTCAATTTCCTGTTACCCTTTGGTCCATATTCTATAAAAATCACAATCAACCCCTTTTTGTCACCATAACCAAAATAAAATAGAGGCAGTTATTATGCTTAACTTATGAGCTATCAAACTTGTACCACATAGTAAAGAACATCTTATGAAAAATGCTAAACACATCTTTAAAAAAAGTAGTACCATGTTATTTTTTTTACCAGCAACACCAGAACAGCTGAAGGTAGTTACACAGTAATGCAGTCTTTAGAGTTATGAAGTTTATTTCCTACATGTCAAAGCCTTAGAAAAATCTACCGTTACTGGACCTGGAGAAAATTAGAACAAGACTTGAAGAACGTGGAAATCACGCCCCAGTTAGGAGAGAAAAATGACTGGTATCCATAAGCCTCTGAGATAGGGCGTAAAAAAATGCTTCAAATGCTCTGCTTGGGACAGCTTCACATAGAGAGAACAAAGGAGTAAAAAAATGTCAGTCATCACAAACTTTAGGTGTTTTCTGGGGAGAAGGGAGGATAATACAGATGTGCTAAAAGAACTCTGGACACAGTAGCCTAGATCATAAATCCATGTAATTGATGAGTAGCCTGCATTGTGTTGGAGTGTGTGTGAGCATGTGTGTCTTGGAAGGAGGTACCTACTCAACACTTACCTTGGTGGGGATTCGTGCTGTGACAAGGAAGGCTCGGCATGATGTGAGCACCTGTAAGAAAGAAGAAAAAGCATGAGTCCAAGTACCAAAACATGAGACAGGTGAGCTTTGGTGCTACCAACAGAGCACTGATAACACTGAAGACAGGTACCTCCCTCAAGAGGCCACATGCCTTGATTCCTGCCACGTAAGGAGGACACTGGGACAGCTTCTCAGCCCTGCAGAATCAGTGCTCTGTAAAAGTCATTACATCCAGGTTCATACTGAGTAAATCACTTGTGAAATCTCAAGATGAGCAGTCAGTCAGCAGCCCAAAGGACCAGCAGATTATTTCAGCTGAGTAAGCAAGACAGTTCTCTGTGATATTAAAACACATACATGTTATGTATAGTTGTGAATCCCTCTATATCAACAGCAGACTTAATGAAAAAGCCAAGTTCTCATTTACACCTTCCAAATTACAATCACCACACACATTTGCCCTCTTGCTTTCCGTTCTTTGTACACCTGCTGATAAGATTTCCATAATGCACTGACAGCAAAAAAAAAAGGCTATTCTTCCAAGACATCATCCCCAACTTTGCTTCTCAGCTGTGCCACTCTCAGTCCTACACAGAACATATATGGAAGTTACATTTTTGATACTCAGCTTACAACATATACAGAACTTGTGTGCTACTACGTGGCTCTGGACCCCTTATGCCCAGCTAGGGCCCTCGCAAATCCAAAAAAGTTGGAAATAGCTTGACCTAATTCAAATCTAGTGCAAGAATCCCATGTTCATGTCCTCAGTCTAGACGTGTCCCTCTGCAACTTGGTGGTCGGGGCCGATCTGATGAACCTTTGCAATAAAGAACGGAGGAGGCTCCAATGCTTCTCAAGTTCCCATGGGAGAAATGTCTTTTGTTATTTTCCCAAGAACACTCTTCTCACTGAATCCATTAGCAAACACTACTTATTCACTAGTCTAAGAATGACAGGTTTGAACCAAACCTAAAGTTTGGTTCATGAGTCAAGGTCACCAAGGTCCCAAGTTGTTAAAAGACTCACTGAGGTCACAGAGTTCTACCTAGACTCAACCCAGGGATAGAATTGCTAGTCAATGCACAGAAGGTGAATCAGTGGATGCGCGTGTGGCCTGCTTGATGCCTCTCTCCACAGCCTCCCATGTAATAAAGGACATCTCATAAAAGACTCCACAGTCTCCCAACCCCAAATAGAACCAGTGTAATTTCTATAAAACACTTCTTTGAATAATCATAGGTAATCACTGTTGGGAATAACTCAAATCAGGACTATCTGTGAGATATATGATGAAGGGAAATTACCCGACACTGGCTGGGAGAGTCTGATGAGTGAGGTGGGGAAGGCAAAGGGAAAATGTACAACTCATTTCAAGACCTTCCATCCAAATGGCTTCGATCATGGCTATTCACAGGATCAAGTTTTACCTGCTATCAATTTCTCTACTTGATTTTAAGAGCTCACATTCTCTGAAAGACCATTAATAAGGGACTTCTAAATGTGTAGGCAGAGGCCCTGGGTGGTCAAATGGTTTCGAGTCCTCACAAAAGCAACTTAAAACAAAGGCCTGGCAACCTACTTCCCAAAAAATGAGCCATAAAAAATCCCATGGAGCACAGTTCTACTCTGACACACACAGGGTCATCATTAGTCAAAGTCTACTTGATGACAACTGGTAGGTAGGTAAAAGTACAGCAACAGAAGATATCGATATTTTCATATTCCACATACTGTGAACCAAACCACAGTTCTTTTCCCTAAGAAATGATCTTTTTTTAAAATTTTATTGTGTTTTAGGTAAAAGTTTACAGCACAAATTAGTTTTTCATACAAAAATTTTACACACATATTGTTTTTGTGACATTAGTTGCAATCCCCACAACTCACATTGGCACCTTTACCCTTTCCCTTTCCACCCTGGGTTCTCAGTGTCCATTTGTCCAGTTCTCCTGCCCCTTCCTGCCTTCTTATCTTTGCTTTTGGGCAGAAGTTGCCCATTGAGTCTCGTATACTTGACCGAACTAAGGAGCACATTCCTCACTTGTGTGATTGTTTGCTTTACAGGCCTGTCTAATCTTTGGCTGAAAGGTGGACTTTGGGAGCAACTTCAGTTCTGAGTTAGCAGGGTGTCCGGGGGCTGTAGTCTCAAGGGTTCCTCTAGTCACCATCAGAACAGTAAGTCTGGTCTCTTTTTTTTGTAAATTTGAATTTTGTTCTACATTTTTTTCCCACTCTGCCCATGACCCTATATTGTGATCTTTGTTAGAATGGTCAGTGGTGGTAACAGGGCACCATCTAGTTCTTCTGGACTCAGGCTGGTGGAGGCTGTGGTTCCTGTGGTCTATTAGTCCTCTGGACTAATATTTTCCTTGTGTCATTGGTTTTCTTCATTCTCCTCTGCACTGAACATGCTGGGACCAATAGATGTATCTTAGACAGCTGCTCACAAGCTTTTTAAGGTCCCAGAGATGCTACTCATCAAAGCAGGATGTAAAACATTTTCTTTATGCCAAATGACCTAAACTCCCCTGAGAACCTAAATTCCCTTAAATTCCCCAGTCCTCAGCCCCAGTAAGTCAGTCCCCCAAGGCGTTTGGATGTATCTAGGAAGCTTTTATGACTTTGCCGTGGTCGAGCTGTGTTGACTTCCCCTATATAGTGTGTTCTCTTCCCCTTCACCAAAGTTAACACTTGTCTGCTATCTAATTAGTGACTTTCCCTTCCCACCCCTCCCCTTCCTCATAACCATAAAAGATTCATTTTTTGTGTGTATAAAACTTTTCTTGGGTTTTTGTAAAAGTGGTCTCATACAGTATTTGTCCTTTTGTGATTGATTTATTTCACTCAGCATAATGCCCTCCAGACTCATCTATATTGTGATATGTTTCGCAGATTCATCAGTTTTTTATTGTTGTATAGTATTCCACTGTGGGTATGTACCATAATTTGTTTATCCGTTTATCTACTGATGCGCACTTCAGTTGTTTTCATCTTTTTGCTATTATGAACAATGCTGCAATGAACATGGATGTGCATATGTCTATTCTTGTGACAGCTCTTATTTCTCTAGGATATATTCCTAGCAGTGAGATTGATCCTTTCTTTTTACTAAGGCCCTTGGGGGCAGAGAGGGAAAGCAGCAGACAATATGTAATAGAAAGGAAAGAATGTACCAGGTTGTAAGAAATGGGGCCAGATGAGTGAGTGAAGGTCAAGTGTAGGTAGTCCAGTAGAACAAGAACCAGCTACATAATTTGCATTGCTCCTATTCAAAAATTGGAGCCCTTGGGTGGTGCAAACAGTTAATACACTTGATTGTTAACTGAAAGGTTGGAGGTTCAAACCCACCCAAAGGCACCTTGGGAGAAAGGCATGGGGATCTACTTCTAAAACAGCAGCCACTGAAAACCCCATGGCACACAGCTCTACTCTGACACACGAGTCAGAACTGACTGGACACAACTGGTTTTTCTTGATTTTATTCTAAAGTTATTAAAAATTTCAAAATGGTGACAATAGGGCATTAAAACAAGTGCGGGGGCCTTCTGAGCATGAGATCCCATGTGAGTGCACAGGCCACATACCTGTGAAACCAGTCCCGAGTAGTAGCCACCATTTATCAAGCATTCCCTACGTGCTATGCATGAGCTAACATCCTTGCATACACTTTAATCCTCACACTGTATGTGATATTGTAATTATTTCCATTTTACGGATGACTAAACTGAGACAGAGTGATGTAACTCACTCAAGGTCACACAACTGGTAAGGGCAGAAACAGGATTCACACCCAGCTTTGTCTGTTAACTCCAAAGCCTATGTTCTTAACCATGAGGCTATATTTACATATTACTACCCAATCCTGCTCCTTGTACTCTACTCCCTGGCAGATCAGTTAGGGCTGTGGTATAAAAGGGATAGTTCAGGGCAGGAAAGTCACCCACAAAGCTCCCAACTCAGAGTATCCTCCTCAACAGTCCAACCCAAAACCAAAATCCATTGCCGTCGAGTCGATTCCGACTCATAGTGACCACACAGGACACAGTAGAACTGCCCCATAGGGTCTCCAAGGAGTGGCTGGTGGATTCCAACTGCCAACCTTTTGGTTAGCAGCTGAGCTCTTAACCACCAGGGCTCCCAACTATCCAACAGTTAATTTAAAAGATTCTCTTTTAAAATCCAAGTATGCCCCAAGAGAGCTGAGCTCGTCAGTCAGCAGCACTAGTCAGGCCTCAGCTAAGACACCTGTACCAAGGAACTAAGAGTTCAGATGCCTTTTGGGAAAGAGTAAGAGGTAATTCTGCTGCCTGAGACATACAGGGTTCAGGAGTGAACATCAGAGACTCGGAAGCAGCATGAGGGCAATAAAGAGGAATTTAGAAAGTGAGATAAAAGGGCTCCTGAGTAAGTCTTGGTCTGTGTTGCCATTTCCTCAGGTCCAGGGAGCAGGTTAGCAATAACTGATTTATGAGATCAGGACTTATTTTAGAAGAAAGAAAAATTTGCCTTCCCTGAACTAAGCCATGCTCCGCAGGGCATCATGAGTCTTCTGGTTCAGTTCAGCCCTGGGATATGACTCCTCTTTCAAACACTGTTCCTCCCTCAGGAACAGGAAAAGAAAAAAGAAAATGATGCTGACAGTCATGATCACAAGCATGGCTATAGGGAGTCAGAGCCCAATTCTTGCTGTTTTTCCCTTTTTCTTATTCTACAACTCAGCACACACATTCTTCTCTCTGCTGGGAGTGTCTTGTATGATCAATCCCCAATCTGTCCAAGAATCTTTAAGTCTACAAAACCTCTGCGTAGAAGTAAAATAATAGCCAAAGTATAAAACCCACATGCCAGAAAGAATCCAATATCATCTGGTCAAAGACATAAAACCCCTTTAGTTTGCAATCTGCAAACTAGTTAGTGGCAGCGCTGGAACTATAAGCTGGGTCTCCTCACTCCCAGTCTACTACCTTTCACTCCATCCTCAAATTCGTAATAAAGTTCAAAGCCAAAGGCCCCAGACAGGTACTTGG